TTGTGGGAGGTGAGGGGCAGCAGGGAGTGGCTGGCGGGGGACGGGTCCACCCCCTGCAGCCACGTGTGGCCCTCGATCTGCTCCAGGGATGCTCGCTGCTTCGGGTCCCGCTGCAGCATCCTGGAGATGAGACTGCGGGGAAAGGAGCGACGCTGCAACCCTGCAGCAGCACATGAACCCCAAACCAGGCAGCTTTATCCCGCCCTTTTCCCACCTCAGCTCCCAGGCATCCCCGAGGGATGGGGCACCCACCCCAGGGGCAGCATGTTGGGGTCTGGGGGTGCAGCGAGGGGGGTGGTGCTTACTCAGCACACTGGGCCGAGACGTGCGGGGGGACGGTGTAGCGGCAGTCCATGATCATGGTGAGGGTCTCGCTGTCATTGGCCTCCTGGAAGGGGGGGTGGCCGCACACCAGCATGTAGAGGATGACCCCCAGGCTCCAGATGTCTGCAAGAAGCAGCAGCAGTTCAGGTTGCACTCCCCGTGGGCTGAGATTCTTCACCCCAGGGACCCCGGGGGGGCCACCCCACCAGCCCCTAATGCTGATCCAACAGACACCAGTGGGAGGCAATGGCTCCCAGGTCCTGCCCCATGGACAGGGGGACTGCAGCCCCACCAAGGCGGGGAAAGACCTTCCCCATCCCCACATCCAAGCAGGGAGGCCAGCCCTGAACTCTGTCCTACCAGTCACTCACCCCCCGCCCCTCCAGTGCCATCTCATGTCATTCCTCAGCTTCTCATTCCCAGACCATTCCACCACAACCATCCTGGCACTGGGCTGTGCTGCAAGAGACTGCAGTGATGGGATGGGGACACAGCACTGATCTGGGCTTTCAGGCTGTGTGGGCACCAGCTGGAGTGGGATCACTGCCCTGTCCTGAGGGCAGGGATGGAGCCAGCAGCATCTTCACTGGTCCCTGCCCAGAACACAAAACTCCTGCAGAAGGCACATTTAGGATGCTGAGCACGCCCCGGGGCTCTCTGTTAATACCTTCAGCTGCTTAAGTCGAGTGTTCGAAAATTTCTCATCTGCGTCGGTTCTCTCCCTTCATTTCCCTTTCAGCGCCACCAGCTTATTTTCCTGCCGCCTCCATAAGCTATCCCTGCTCTCTGCTCGGGATCCGCCTTTTCCTGAGCCAACGCTGGGCTTTTTCCTTTAAGGGCTCGTGTTTTGCTTTGCTAAATCCTCCTGCCCTAATTCCAGCCAGCCAGCCAGCTCAGATCCTGCTTCCCTCCCGCGTCCCCTCTGTCACAGCAGAGCCTCTCAGAGCCCCCAGCCCAGCTCCCTGTGCCTTGAGACAGGCTCCCCAGGCCCCCGTGCCCCAGCCAGGGGAGGAAGGGCGCTGGGAGGCACAGAGAGGAAGCGGTTTTTAGGGCGGGGATGGAGCAAAGGAAACTTTCGGAGCTCCTCCACCCAAACAGCAGCATCCCAAGCAGATTTCCTTCCGGCCTCACCTCCCCCAAATAACCACTAGCGCCAGATTGCCGGCAGCTGTGTCCTCACTCTGCTTCTCCCGAGCCCCGGCGGATGCCACGACGGACTCAGAGCCTGCTCGGGCTTTTTCCCCTCCCCGCCATGATCCCTGTGGGATCTCAGTGGGTGCTGGGATGGTCTCTGCAAGGAGGACCCCCTGAGCCAGGGCAGGGCTGGGCAGCCCAGCACCCAGGGGACAGCCGTGCTCCCTGCAGGGACAGCAGGGCCACCGGGTGCTCCCAGCATAAGGGGCCAAAAGCGAGGTGGTTCCTGGCTGGCAGGACCACACTCCAGACATGGGGTACGAGGGAGGCAGGTCCCCAGGGTGCCTCACCACCCTTACCCACAGCCGGGGCGTCGTACTCATCCCCGAGCAGGATCTCCGGCGCCGAGTAGGCCAGGGAGCCGCAGCTGGTGGTGAGCATCTTGCCGGGCTGGAAGCGGTTGCTGAAGCCGAAGTCGGTGAGCTTGACCACCCCCTGCTCTTGGAAGAAGACCACGTTCTCGGGCTTGAGGTCGCGGTGCACCACGTGGAGCTTGTGGCAGTAGGAGATGGCGTGGACGATCTGGGCGAAGTAGTGCTTGGCCCGCGGCTCGGCCAGGCCGCCCTCGTGCCGCATGATGTGGTCGAACATGTCCCCGCCGTCGCCCAGCTCCAGGATGAGGTAGAGCTTGGCGTGGGTGTCGATGACCTCGTAGAGGCGCACCACGTTGGGGTGCTGGACCAGCTTCATGCAGCGCACCTCCTGCAGGAGCTGCCCCGCCGCCTCCCCCGCCAGCTTGCTCTTGTCGATCACCTTGACGGCCACGCGCTGCCCGGTGAAGACGTGCCGTGCCAGCTTCACCACGGCGAAGTGGCCCTTGCCCAGCGTGCGCTCCAGGTCGTACAGCCCCGCGATCTTGCCCTCGCCACAGCCCTGCGCCCCGGCCATGGCGGCGCCCTCGGGCATCGGGCGCTGTGGGACGGAGGAGACGCTGAGCAATGTGGGGTGAGGGATGGAGCTCCCCCGAATACCAGGCCCCCCAGCACCTCGGGCATCAGGACCCCAGCAGCTTGGGTACCCTGACACCCCAGCTCCCAGTCCCCATCCTGGGATCTAGGCACTCATCTGTATCCCCACCTCCAGCCCCCAGCACCCTGGACATTCCAGTACTCCCACCTCCACTCCCGAACATCCCAGGGTACCCCATTTCTCATGTCCAGGTCCCCAGCACACTGAGCACCCCAACACCCTCTCTTTCAGTTCCCAGCACCCTGGACATCCCTTTACAGCCCCACTATTTCCCAGTAACCCAGAGGGCATCCAGATGTCCAGCACCACAGCACCCCGGGCACCCCAACACCCCTGCCAACAGTCCCTCATCACCCTGATCACCCCCATACCCCACCTGCGTGTTCCCAGCACCCCGGGCACCCCAAGACCCCCACCTCCAGGCGTCCAGCACCCCTGTCACCCCATGCTGCCACCTCCAGATCCCAGCACCCTGGGCACCCCAATACTGCCAATCTCCAGGTGTCCGGCACCCTGGGCACCCCAACGCCCTCACCTCCAGACCGCAGCACCCCGAGCACCCCGGTGCCCCCCCTGCAGCCCCCCGATACCCACCGCAGCCGCTGCCCCCCGGTGCGCCCCGATGGAGCCGCTCTCCCCGGGGCGCGGAGCTGCGGCCGCCGGGGCTGCGGTGCCCGGGTGCGCCCGCCCCGCTGACGTCAGGGCGGCTCCGGGATCGCGCCTTAAAGGGCCCGGCCCGGTGCCCACCGCGGGTCGGGGGGGATGCTCCTCGCACCTCCCGACGGGGAGACCCCGGGCACCGCCGCCCCGACGGCTCCAGCGGCCCGGCTCCTCAGTGCCCGTGTGGGGTGGGGGCACTGAGGGGGCATTAGCGGTAACGAGGGCTGGTGATGAGCTCTGTGAGCCGCCCGCCTGCCTGGATGCTTCCAGGAGGAGAGGGAGAGGGATAGCCGCCTGCCCGGGGTTGTCTCCCGAGGGTCCCGCTGTGGGATGAGCTCGGCTGTGCTGCCCTCCTGCCCGGGGTGCCCGCTCACGGCACCTCCGCTGTGCCCCTGACCCGCTCCATCGCCCGCTCCCACCCTCCCTGCAGCCGGGAGCACCGAGCCGGGGGCGCAGCCCCGGCCCCCCTTTCCTCCTCGCTGTGAGCCCTCTTTTCCTGGAAGCGGCCCGGCGAGCGGCCGGCAGCCTCATTTAGCTCGTTACTGGCCATCGGGATGCGCACAAAGCAGATGTTGCTCCTGCAGATTAAAAAGCTCTCAGCGCGGCCGCCCTCATTCCCGCTAATGCCTTCCCAGAAGTCCTGGCCCGCGGCCCCGCCGGCTGCAAACAGGCCCTAATGAGCCGGGCCGAGGGCCCCGAGCGGCGGTGGCGTCAGCGGGGACGGGGACAGCAGGGCTGGGGACCCGGAGCCCCCAGGGCTGGGGATGGAGGAGCTGGGGCTGGATGGGGCACTCGGCACCCACCTGGGCCTCGGGGATGGGAATGGGAATGGGCTGCCAAAGCTGCCTCTAACCCAAGATGAGCCTTTGTCCAGGCACGTGGGTGCAGGAGACACCGGGGTGCTGTGCTGGGGGGTCCTGACTGGGTGTTGTGAGCTGGGGACCCAGGCGGGTGCTGAGTGTTTCCAGCAGCCAGAGGAGATGGGACACGGCAGTCGAGCCTCTCGCTGGTCCTACACTCGCTCAGCCTGCCCCTCAAATGCAGCAGGAATCAGATCATGCTGGGACAGGGAGTGTGAGGGGCAGAGGGGGCCTGCAAAGAGCCCCAGGGCTGGTGCTGCAGCCAGGAGTGGTGGCTCATGCTCTGCTGGGAGGCCTGGGGGTCCCCCCCATCCAGGAGCAGCCTGGTGAGGGCAGAGCCTGGGCTGTCATCCTCCCTTGCTGGGAATGTCACAGCCCACTGAACCTATGTCTTATCCTCCCATTTCCTTGCAGCACTGAAGTCACTCAAGGCCATGAACATTCCCGAAAAGAGCCTGGCTCTGGGGAGCTGCAGGTTTTCCAAAGGAATTATGAATGAGAGACACGGTTAGCCTGGAGAATCTGCAGATGGCCAGTGGTCAGAAACTGGAGGACTGCTGGAGGCTCTGGACTATGAGTGGACGCTTGCCAGGAGATACAGATAGGCAACATTCCCTTTGAAAACCAGTCGAGCTTGGCATGTTTTTGGCCAGGAGCCCGTAGCCCTGATAATTCTCTATTTGGAAACTAAGAGATGCCCTCAAGTTGCAGCCTTGGTGCTTCTCAGGCGTGGCTGGAAAGGGAAGCAGTCTGGAAGAGCGGTGGGGATCACTTCCAAGACACCTGGGGGTTTGGGGGTAGCGGGGAGCTGTCCCTCCCACGGCTGTGTGGGGCGCAGGGCAGGAGTCCCCCCTCCCACACATTGCCCCGGCGGCTGCTCTCCATCCAGACAAAGCCCGTTTTCCAGAGAATCCCACCTACCTGGTAGTTAGTGGAGTCATGTGGCTGCAGCACTTAATTAATAAAAAGCCGATATAAATCCCAGGAAGCGTGTGGGGCGGAGGACACTGAGGCAGAGAGCGGTGGTGGCGCTTCCAGCGGGCTCGGTGGAGCAGTGAACGACGAGCCCCCTCTCTGCTCGGAGAGGTCAGTGCCTACCGTGGGAAGGGGCTTGGCAGCGTGTGGGGTGTGACTCCCACGGGTGTGGGGCTCCCTGAGGCGCAGAGGGGTCTCTCCTGGCAAAGAGCTGGGTGGTTGCGTGGGATGGGGAGAAAAGGGGTGGCCAGCATTGGGCTGCTAGAGCCAGGGCTGGAGCCCCAAGGTTGCTAAAGCAGCAGGCACTGGGTTTCCCGGGATTTGGCTGACAGCAGCAACTGTGGTACCCCCTCCTGACCCCTTTCCTTTTGCTCCCTAAGAGTCTCCCTGCTTTTTACAGCTTTCAGGCCCCCAAAGCCCACAGCCTGACCCTTCAGCTACTCCTGTCCCCCAGCCCAGTTTGCCCAGTCCTTCCCTCAGCTGTGCCCACTGTTGTCCTCCCCCCACCCAGCGCCCAGCCTCTATTGGCATTTCCATGCTCTGAGCCTGGCAGGAGCCGTGTGGGATGTTTTGGCCGCATCCTCAATGGTCTGGTGGCTGCTGAAGGCTGTGAGTGGGGCAGGGGGCACCCTGAGCCACTGCACAAAGGCTTGGTCAAGTCTCAGTCCGTTCTCTGCTGCTCCCCCCTCTCTGTGGGGAGATCCTGAATGTGCCCATACATGGGGTGCCCCACAGCACGTGCTCTGGAGGGTCCATGTGAAGCTCCCAGGTGTGTGGGGGCCCAAAAAAAGGCTCTCAAGGCCAAGGGAGCAAACAGCCCAGCACGGTGGCTGTGCTGGCAGGGGCTGCCCCTCGCTGACACAGCACTGCTCAGGGGGTGATGCCAGCGAGGGGGGCTGACACCGGACGGGCCCCTCTGCGCAGGTTGTCCCCCGGGACCATGCTGAACGTGCTGCTGCTGTGCTGTGGGCTGCTGCAGGGGATCCAGGCCGTCCTGGACCTCAGGACCACCGACCTCAGCTGTGGGCACCTGCAGAAGGCGAGTGCCGGGCTGGAGGGCGTGGACAGAGCCCGCCACGCCAGCCTGCAGCGGAGAGCCAAGGAGGCGCCTGCAGAGCCAGTGGGTGAGTCCTGTGGCCCCCCCTGCCCTCCACTGACCCCCACCAGCTGCTCGCTGCACTGCCCAGCGCCCCAGAGTTGAAGTGGGGGTCCTCCTAAAGCAGCACAGATTCTTCTAACCCTGGCTGGTGAGAGCAGCCTGGCTGCCCACAGGAAGCGGGGCCTTTTTCTTGTGGGGAGCAGAATCAGAGCTGACCCCCCAGCAGCCTCCTTGTCCAGCCTCTCTGTATCTCACAGGACCTCTCCCCAGGCTGGGGTTTGAGCAGATGGCCCTGGAGGTCCAAGAAGCCGATGGTGACCTCGTGAGGAGAGGTGGTGTGCTGGAACCACAGGTAACCCTGAGCTTTCCTTCAGACACCTCAAAGAGCAGGAAAGCATCAGGCCACAGCAACCTTCTCTGTGCCCCTGGGGCCAGGGGAGGTTTGGAGCCCAGCACGGTGCTGCCTGGGAAGGAAGGCACTATCTGTTCATCACCTGGGGAGCAGCCAGGGCTGGGATGAGCTGAGGCTGCCCAGAGACACAAGGGGCTACAGCACTCAAAGGAGGGTGGTGCAAACCTGTGCTCCTGCAATCCATTTAATTAACCTCAAGTGCAGCCCAGGAAGGCTCTGTAGAGCAGCAGCTCACTGGGCAATGCCATGTTCAGCCTGGCTCAGCCCTCAGTTCCTCTGTTTGGGCAGAAGGCACAGCACCCTTCACTAAAGTCCAGGCTGCGCTTCAAAATAAATGTGTGCAGAAAGGCCTTGAGACACAGTGGATGAGGCAGTGAACCCTGCAGAGAGACCACGGGGCTCAGCGGTGATTTCCAACAGGCTGAGCCCGGAGTTGAGCACGACTGTGCACTGCTGGCAGTGGCAGGTTTCAGCAGCCACTCCTGGCTCTCTCCCACGCAGTCCTCTGTTGCTGGTGCAGTGGTCCAGCACCAACTCTGCCCCTGCTGTTCCTCCTCTCTCCCCTCCAGGCATCCTCCACAGAGCTGCAGGCTGCGGGCCGTGAGGAGCGCTCCCCCCGCCGCTGCGTCCGTCTGCTGGAGTCCTGCCTGGGCCAGCAGGTCCCCTGCTGCGACCCCTGTGCCACCTGCTACTGCCGCTTCTTCAACGCCTTCTGCTACTGCAGGAAAATCAGCACCAATTTCCCGTGTGGCAAGAACTAGCGCCCGCCCCGCGGGGCTGCTCCCTGCCCACGCGTGTGCCTCCTCCTCTGCAGCTCCAATAAACCAGCCCTTTGCAAAAGCCACTGCTGAGTGGGAATGGTGTGCTGTGTCCGCTGGGGATCTCAGGGGAGAGGGGCGGCAGCAAGGGGAGGGTGCCTGCACATGGCTGGGCACCGTGTCCACACAGCCAGGAGTGCAGGGCACCTCCACGTCAAACAAAATGAGCCTTTCCCGGCTGGGTAAGTGGTGTCTCAGCAGCAGGGGTGCTCCTCCAGGTGATGTCTTGGCCAACGCTGCTGTCACCCACAAAATCGGGTTTTTTCGCTGATGTGCAACGAGCCAGTCCTGACACACTCGAGAGAGAGATGCTGCTTATTGATTTCAGAGCTGCCGAGCCCGGGTGCTCAGGGCTATTCCGCAAATCCAGCACGTCCCACTGGACTTGCCAGTGTTGTTATTCACACACAAAGTTCAGAGGCAGTAAATTCCCAAGCACAGCCGCTCTGTTGGGTTGATTGGTAATTTCCATACAAATCACATAACCCAGGTAACTTCTACTCAGGGGAAGGGTCTTCACCTGGGCAGGGCCTTTTTGACCTGCAGGCATGATTTTTAGTATTATAATGAAGATAGTTCAGGTCTGTGATACGTGGACCCAGAGTATTTTGCCAGGCTAGCAATGTATCCATAGACAGACACCAACATCTTGATTTACTGCACCCCTAAAGCCTGTCAGCTCCAGGGTGTCCCTGAGTAAGGGGTGCCAGTTCCACTGATCAGCCCTCCTTCCCTGCTCATTAGGCTTGGAAGCACACAAAGGTCTTACACCGAAGAACACCCTGACTTAAGATAATCCTGACACGCTCCGCACTTGGCGACACCTCCGCGTCGAACGCCGCTATTTAATTTATTCCCAGGGCGCTCCCGGGCCGTGCCCGACGATTCCTCCTTCCCCCCCCCATCCCCTCAGGCGGCTCCCGCCGCGCAATGGCTGCCGGGAAGGGGCCGCTGCCACGTGACCAGCGCGGGGGTCACGTGAGGCGGCGGCGGCAGCGCTCCCGGCCCGTCCCCGCCGCCATGTCGTGCTTCCCGGAGCTCTATTTCAACGTGGACAACGGATACCTGGAAGGGCTGGTGCGCGGCTTCAAGGCGGGGGTGCTCCGGCAAGGGGACTACGTGAACCTGGTGCAGTGCGAGAGCCTGGAGGGTGAGTGGTGGGGAGGGTCAGAGGCTTGCGGGAACAGCCCCCCCCCCGCCTTCCCCTGCCATCCTGAGGGGAAGGTCCGGGCTGTGGGCTGAGGGGAGGTGGTGAGGGGCTGTGGGGAGGCGAGGGGCTGCCTGGCAGCGGCGAAAAGAGTCCACAGCGGCCCTGTCCCCTCTTCACCCCTCAACTGAGGCCGCACTTGGTGTCCCGGCCCCCGCCGCCTCAGCTGACTCAGTTTCCCGGTCAGCGCTGCCGTGTGATTGCCCGGCGGACACAGCGCTGTGAGGGAGCTTGGTCTCCCTGTACTTTCCTGGGGTGGCTGTATAGCTGTGGTTGTTGGGAGCCTGGTGGGTTTTGTCGGGCATTGCTGGTGAGACTGGTTTTGTAGCTGCACCCCCTAAATGGCAGGAAACCTTTTTAAGGCCAGAAGTAAGGCTATTGGGGTAATCTAACAATCCCCGATACCCATGATTAGTTTTTAAGGGGATCAGGTCACCTAGGAAGGTACCTGCTGTTATTGAAGGATCACCAGTGGAAAAAATCCGGTGCCCATCTGAGTAAATTCAGCAGTGAATTGCCTGTTGCCTGTGATCTTGAGTTCTTTTTAAAGGCTAATTCTGACTCCCAGACATAATTTCTTTTCTAGATCGGTGTGTACAAACCTGGAGAACTTTGGAGGTTTTGCTCTGTAATGCTCATTTTTTTCACAATGAGGGTGGGGAGGCCCTGGCACAGGTTGCCCAGAGGAGCTGTGGCTGCCCCATCCCTAGAAGTGTCCAAGGCCAGGTTGGATGGGGCTCTGAACCACCTGGGATAGTGGAAGGTGTCCCTGCCCCTGGCAGGGGGTTGAACCAGATGGCCTTTAGAGGTCTTTTCCAACCCAAACTCTTCTAGGATGCTGAGATCACTTGTGGTCACTCATCAGCTTAATTAGTTGCTGTTAAACTGTTTCTCTGATCAGTGCCCTGCCCGGTTTTCACTCGGCAGTGTCTACAACCTGGATCAAAAATCACAAAGATTAAAACCAGGCCTCTCTTGAAATAGGCTAGAAATACACGTGTCTGGAAATGTTGGTTGTTTCTGTCAGTGGGACTGTAATTACTGGATTATTCTTTCTTCCAAAACTATTTGTTAAGCATCAGGTTTATACTGACAATCATTGCTGAGTGGTTAATTAACCCTGAGTATGTAGATGGATCCCTGACCAGTTGAACCCTGGATACAAGTTACCTGGAGCTGCTCACTCCAGGTAACAACAGAATGGGAACAGAGTGCTGTCATGTGCCTCAGCCTCTACCTTAAGAATTCCCAAGCTGTTTTTACTTAGGAGAGAAGCTCCTTCTCAGCTTCTCTTTTTGGCAGCTCTTTGCTTGCAGTGGTCACTGTCATTCCTACTGTGGAGCCCAGGGCCTGGAAGAGGGCAGTGGGAGTAACTTCTGCTCTCTGGGTAGTCACAAGTGTCAGCATGCCCTGAACTGTGACTGTGTCACTTCCCTGCAGTGAACTTCCTCTTTGGAGTCTTTCTGTACTGAGAGCTTCTCTTTTTTTTCCTCCCTTCCTTGCTTTCTGAACCAAGTTGCCTGAACCTAGTTCTCCCTCAGAGTGGTGTTTGCTGCATTTGGAATGAGTCAGGTTGGAGTTCCCGTATGTTTGCCGTGGTATCATTGGTGTCCTGCCCCCAACAGCTCTCTGGTGGCAGCTCCTGCTGTGCTCCTTGTCATGCTTCCTTTGGAACCTGAAGGCTCTTCCAAGTTCACTGTCAAGCTTGTTCCTCTTCACCTGACTTTCTGTGCCCCTGCCCACTGTGCTTCTGTAGAGGTGTTTTCCTTCAAAGGAATGTTGCTCTTGATCACTCATGTGGGGCTGTGGTCAGACTGTTTCTTTTCTCTGTCCCTTTAGTTGGGATTTTCCCGCTCAGTACTTGTTTTCTGTGCTCCACAGACTTCTACCATGCATTCTTCCTCTCCCAGGTACTTGTCTGCACTAAATCCAGGCAGTGGCTGGCGTGTTAGCAGCCAAAATAAGTACTGGGACAGAAAATACTCATACATTGTTCTCTACTCTCTGTTTTGTCTTCTCTCTGCCTCTTGTGTGCAAGTCCAGCTCTGCAGTTTGCCCCAGTCCTGGAGTGAGTGATCCTTGGCCATGGAGAAATCCTGAAGGACCAGGGCTGTTCTGGGTCTGGTCCTGGCAATCGGGTATCTGGCACCTTCCTGCTACTGGCACTGCTTGGAGGATGCTGTGCTTCCAGGTGTGAAATGCTGCTCCCTCTCGTGTGCTTGGGTTGCTCTGGAAGCACAAAGGGATTGACTTCTCTGCTTCAGGACTTGGTCTGGCAGCTCAGTGCTGCTGGAAGGAGGATCATGCTTTCCTGTGATCCTCTGTGTTCTCTGCTTGTCTGATCACAAAGTAACCTGACTCAAGCTCTTGCCTCTTGTCGAGTCAGAAGTAGCCAAGTGGGCTGTCTGTGGTCAGGCTCCTGAGCTGGCCTGAAGAAGAGCAGAAAAACATGTCCAGGACTGAGGGGGGCAGTGAGAGCTGTTTTGGCTTAAGCTTTCTCGTAAACCCTGCAGCAATAACATGTTTAATCCCTTCATTCAGCATCAAAAGTCCAGGTGCTTTGGTTGTTTCTCAGCCAGAGGCCCTGTGACGTGCACCTGTGCTGGGATTGCTTGGAGGCTGCCCGGCCCTCCCTGTTGTATCCAGTTCCTGCTTCTGACACAAGGTGTCAGTGAAGGACCTGGAGCCGCCTCCCTCAGCTCCAGTGGTGTGAGCATGGATCTGTGCTGGAGTGGAATCTGTCTGGGGCAAACAGACTTACAGGTCACCCAGATTTCTGCTGTCAAAAGGTTGGCGAGTCATCTCCAACTCCTAAAGCTGTGGTAGCCTGTTAGAGGTCTGGTATCCTCTCTGGAGAATGAAAAGCTGTTGATGTAGTTGGACAGTGGTGCCACTTTTAAGCAGCAGAGTTCAGTCTGGGTCTGGAATGTTGGTTGTGGGCTGGCTTTAATGGTGGTCTGCAACCCTCCTTACTGTGAAATGCACGGGGAGCCCAAGAAATGCACAAAAGCATCTTGTTTAGAACCAGGAATGTCTTTACCTTCAGGTCAGTGTTCATGAACCTCCTACTGCTAATAATTCCTCTTGCTTCCACAGCAACAGTGTAGAAAACTGTTTTCTTTCTGACCTGCCAGTGTCGTAGAGGGGATTGGTGTGGTGAAATCCAGCTTCTAGCTGGGTGATGAGGCTGTGAAGTGGCCTGCTGAGGAGTGGCAGGGACTTGGTTCAAGCCTGGAGGTTTCTGTTAGGAGAGGTTTTCCAGAGGCTGCGTGTCTCCAACACCACTGCTCTGTGGGTGCTTGTACCTCTGTCCATGCAGTTGGACAGAGTTGGACAGTCCTCAGCTGAGGACTTTCCATGCCATATAGAATAGAAACAGTGGTGTGCATGTGGAGGAGCAGGATCTGTCCATGGAGTGTGTCCTCTCTGCACCAGGCTGAGCACAGTGTGTGCTTTTGTTTTCACTGTCCCAAAGATCTTTTGTTCTCCCCTGGAGGCTGCCTTTGCTTTGAGGTGTTCAGCACCTGAGAAAAGAGCTGGAGAGGTTGTGCTACCCTTCTCTTCTCCATTTTATCACTGTGGTCCTGGAATTTGGGCCCCAAAAGGCTGGAGCTGGTCTTCTCTTTCAGCATAACCGTATGGGCAGCATGTCCTCTCTTGTGCAGAGAAGTTGCATTGCTGCCAGAGCTCCACACCTCCAAGAGTGCTTTTGGTGGAGCTTGTGGTGTTCTCACAGGTGCAGGGGGAATGGCATAGATCCTTTCCTGTGCAGCTCCTTTGCTGTACTGCCAAACAAGGAGGGGCCACTCAGTGGTCCTGAGGTGTGGCTGTGCTTGGATCCCTCTGGAGCTCTGAGGGTGGTTCACTCTGAACTCGGGGGGTGTAGAAACCAAGCCATAACGTGGTGGGGACCTTTCATCCTCACCCACACGATGAGGATGCTCTCTGTCTCCTGGTATGTGTAGGAGCCCTGGGTGAAAAGCTGACCCTTGCATGCTGGGACTGTGCAGGAGGACTGTCCCCTGTCCCCAAGAGCTTTCTTCTGCCAGATGAGGCAGAGTCACAGCGTCTGAGAGGCTGTGCTGCTGATCTTGGTGCTTTGTCCTGCATCCTCTGGTGTAACCACTGGCTGTGGCTGGTTCATCAACTGTCCTGTTGAAACAAACTCCAGGAAAACATTTTTTTATTGGAAGAAAGATAGCCCTTCCATAGCCTGCTAGATCATGGTGGCAAACAAACACTGTGGTCCCTGGCTTCCTGCAGGGTTCAGCGGAGGCTCTTTGCTGTTTGTTCTGGCCTCCTTTACTGGGCAGAGACCTACTTCATAGCTTCTCTTAGCTAAACTTCAAGCAGCAGCCGAGGTCAGCTTCTGAGTACTGGTGCAGCTTCAGCCCTTGTTTGGGTCCTGCCCCTCGTTAGGAGATGATGGTGTCTGGGTTTCCTGGCAGGTGTTGCTGCTCGGCAGCCCGTCAGTGCTTTCATCTTGTTGTTTTTCCTCGGCTGTCAGCTCCTGCAGCAGGAGACTGCTTTCTGCCCTGTTTATTTTAGCTTCTGAGTGATTTGTTGCCTCTCCCCTGAATCACTGCAGTAGGTGCTGGGCTGATGTCCTGTTAGTGCACTGGACCTCTGAGGTTACAGCTGTGGCTTAGAACAGTCTGCTTTTGGAGAGGGTGGGGATGCAGGCAGATGGGGGGGCTGTGACCTTGCCTTTTGGACAGATTAGGAGGGGGCTGCCTGCTTGAGGGCACATGAGCTGGTTGTGCTGGGTTTGAAGCTCTGAGAGGGTTGAATTCAGCCCCAGGAAGGGATGTGATAGAAACACAGGTTGCTGTTTGGTGCTGAGGACATTTCAAACAGGTGAAGAGCCAGAGATGAGACACCGATGGAAGAAAAGGCCAAAGATGATGCTTCTCTGTGTCTGTGGCCCAGAGGAATTTCCTGCCTGACAACAGAGAAAAGGTGGCACGTGACTGCTGGTGATGTGCAACCACAGGAAAGGTCTTAAATTCTGCAGGGAACAACGGGTCTCTGAGTAATTCCTGAGCGAGATTTCAGAGAACCAGCTTCAGAAGTGCCTGAGGTGGCTATAAACAGACCAAACAAACAGCAATAAGGCAAATGGTAATGACTGCAGTCTCCTGAAGGGAGACGTGGGCAATGTAGCTGATCTGCAGACTGCTGTGTAATCCCTCAGCTGCTTTACTGCCTCCAGCCTGGGAGATGGCAAATGATATTTTAATTTTTATATAGGCAGTGATGGCCCCAGGTGCTTTGGAGCAAGATGTCGGGGTTACAGCAGATAATTTGCGTGAAAACATCATTTCAGCTGGGAAGTTGCAGAAGCTGATTCTGTGCCTGTGTGTGAGAAGACAGATCAGTCCTTGCCTCGAAGTGCTTGAGCCCTTAACTTGATTCAGAGCTCTGCAATGCAGTTATGGCAGGATGCTGAAGAGGGACAGGGTGGAAGTCTGAGCTGATGGGGCCGTGGATCATTCTGTCTGAGCAGGGCTTACAGGACAGGCTTTGTCTGACAGACTAAGGGCTTGATTCCTTGGCAAAGCAAACTTGCAGGAGAGGACGGCTGTATTACTGTGGATCTGAAGTCTCTCGAGAAAATGTCATCTGAAATGTCAAGGTGTTGGCACAGCAGGGTGTTGAATTAACCTTCTGTTGTGTTTGTGGCTTATGTAAAGGCAGCTGCATGAGAACCAGAGGGCCTGATCTGAGAGCTGAATGGAGGTGGCTGTAAGTCCATGTCGTGGTAATCCCAAGCACTGTCCTACTCAGCTAAAAAGGGCTGTCGTTCTGACAAGCTGTCGTGTTCTTGCACAAGGCAGCTTTCTGGGAGCTGTGACCCAGCCATAATTTACCAGCGTTTGCAGGGGAGGAGAGAGAGCAAAAGTGTTGTGGTCATTCAAGTGCTCCCTTGCCAAATACTGGCTCAGTCTGTTACTCAGTGTGTGAACCGCTTGGAAAAATGCCGAGCCAGGCAAATGTACCTCTTCAAATCAATCACTGGGTCGAGGCCGTGTGCTGCTGTTAGTCAGCATCTGGAGGAGCTCCCTGGGAGGAGCTGGGCTCTAGGTGCAGGTCTCCCTCCTTTCCAGCAGGCAGCTGGGGAAGAGGCACGGCAGAAGACTCGCAGCCAGCTCTTATCGACGTGCAGCGTGTGCGATCTGTGGCAGCTGCCCCTGCCAAGGGGCTGCTCTTGCTGCCAGAGGCCGACTCCAGCTCGGTCTGAACTTGTGTTGGGAACTTGAGCTTTTGGAGAACTTGGGGCTTGCTCAGCAGTGGGTCCACTCATTAGTCACCATGCTACTGGGACATCTCTTCTGGCAGGAAATTTGTGAAACCACGAGATTAGTTTGTTCTTAACCGAGAAGCCTGACATGTGAACAGTCGTATTAAAAGCTCCCAAACTTGGGAGCTCACCCTCTTGGCCGGAGCTCAGTGACCAGCACAGCGGCTGGAGGAGGACAGGCTCGTGTAAGGAGCTGATACACTGTGGGATGCATTGAGTCAGGGTTCATAAATCCGGTCCAATTTTTGGAAAATATGTTCCGTTTTGTCTGCTTGGGTGCTAAGAGATTCAGAAAAGTTTAGTTTCTGCAGTTTGTGGCTGGCCTTCCCTGTAAAAATGAATTCCAAGTGTTATATAAACATGGCCATTATTCGAGTTGCAACATGATGTGCTGGCTCTTGTGCTGTGGAGTTGGGGGGACGACCCCCTCGTGGAGCAGGGCAAAATGTTCTGGGCAAGCAGCTCATGGGAACTTGCTCAGAGCTGTTGAGGGAGAGCCTGCAAGGCACAGTGTGCAGCCTGGGTGGCTCTGGTCTAGTTGCAGTGCAGCTCTGACTTCCTGGAAGTACAGCAAACTCTCCTTTTCGTGTCACTGTGTCTCTAGCATCAAGTGACCTGAGGGCAAAGCAGCTCCTTGTGACCTCAAAAGCAGAGTTTCAGGTTGTGATGACACCAAAACAAACCAATGGTATTGGACTTGAGGAAACAAGATATAACCTTTGGAAGCTTCCCTACTGAGGACAGATCTGGTAGGATATGCAATAGCTGCTTCCTCTCCAATGTCCTGTATAGCTCCAAAACAACATCACATGCCTTTTTGGGCAGGCTTAGCTTTCGTTAGGGCTCTGCACAATTACAGGGAACTACAAGCAGGAGGTGTGTAAGTGGAGCTGCTTCAGTCCCCTGTCCCCTCCTTCACAGCCTGATTTTATGTGTGTAATAGTCTTACCAAGACCCTTTCTCTCGTATTCCTTATCCAGATAGTGTTTTCCCACCTTGAAGGTGTGAGGATAAGTTGATTGTGCTTCAGTAGAATAAACCACAGCTATTCAGCTGCAGCACAGTCTGGGGAGCAGAGGTCTAGCTTAGGTTTCTGCTTTGCTTCAGTGATGTGTGTTGGTCAGGAAGATCTCTTTGCTGCATCCAGAATTCATAGAATCATAGAATGGATGAGGTTGAAAGGGACCTTAAAGATCATTTAGTTCCAACCCCCCTGCCATGGGCAGAGATACCTTCCACTGGACCAGGTTGCTTCAAGCCCCATCCAGCCTGGCCTTGAACACTTCCAGGGATAGGGCAGCCAGAACTTCTCTGGGCAACCTGTGCCAGTGCCTCACCACCCTCACAGGGAAGAATTTTTTCCTAACATCCAATCTAAACCTACTCTCTTTCACTTTGATGCCATTCCTTCTTGTCCTGTCTCTCCCTGCCCTTGTCCAAAGTCCCTCTCCAGCTCTCCCGTAGCCCCTTCAGGTATTGAAAGGCTGCAGTAGGGTCACCCAGAGTCACTCTTCTCCAGGCTGAACAGTCCCAGTTCTCTCAGCGTTTCCTCACAGGAGAGGTGTTCCATCCCTGTAATCATCTCTGTGGCCTCCTCTGGACCGGCCCCAAAAGGTCCATGTCCTTCCAGGGCACAGCACTGCAGGTGGGGTCTCACCAGAGTGGACTAGAGGGGCAGAATCCCCTCCCTTGCTAAAACTAAGAGTGTCCCCGAAGTTTCCTGTAACCCACTGAGAAACATGACAGAAACTGGGTGATATTTAAGTCTCTGGCCTTTATGTCCCCTCTCTATAAACTCCATCTGTTTCCTGTGAGACTGAGCAGTGGGAACACCTTCGTAACTAAAAGTGCTGGTGAAAACCATCTTTGCTAGACCCTCTTGGAAATACTCAGAAGACTTGAAGTCGGCTTGGAAGCTGTTGGACCCTCCCATCCCTTGGGCTGAGGACAATATTGGGCTGTACAAGCTCAGGTTGGAGCCTGAGGAGAAACTCTCCAGCTCATGTCTGTGGCTGGGTGGGATGTCAAAAGATGAGACTCCTCAAGCCGTGCTGAGTCCTTGCTCTGACCTGGGTGCTGTGGATGCCTGTGCTGTAATGCTGAGGACTCGTGTGGCTCAGCAGAAGGGAAAGGCAGCCTCAGTGCTGCTGCCTCAGAGAAACCAGGGAGAAATGTCTTCTTTGTTTTCTCTGGATGGCGCGTTCACATCTGGTTTGACTCAACTCTTCCAGCTGCTCTCCTTTCCCCGTAAAGGTCTTGAATCCCTGGGAGGTTGCTTGCCTAACTGGCCCTCTGAGGTGAAGCTGAAGGGAGATGAACATTGTGTACCAGTGCTACTAGTAGAGCTCTGAGGAGTAGGATTATATGACGTTCCTCAGTTCTGGATTCAGTTTTTCCATAGAGACACTTAAATGCTTTTGGCTCAAAATAGGGCTTTTATCTTGACAGAGCTCAGCATGTTGTGGTTGCTTGTTGGCCAGGACTGCAGCTTGGTTGGGCACCTGACCTGCAGCAGGGGTAACAGAGGAAACAAAGGTTTCCTCTGCTTGAAACTGGAGGAGGGGAAGACTTCTGAGCATGTTCTTCCATCCTGGGCAGGGTTTGCCTACCATGTGAGATGGATTTAAAATGGCCTTCATCTTCACCAGCCCCTCTCAACCTCTTAATGCCCGACTTGTCTTTATCAGTGCAATTAGCTGGGCTGGCTTGATGATGTCATACCAAGCTGGTTTATAATTTCAAAGTTGCTGTTCATGTTTTTTTGGCTTTGAAAGCTTTTTAGGTGCCTCCACATCACTCGTGTCTGGGTGGATGCAGTTAGGTTCTTGGTTGTGATTGCTTCAGCCTGCAACCAGAGCCCTTTTGGCTAAAGGGAGAGTTTAAGTTGGTTTTTTTTTTTTTTCCTTCCCTAGATTTCTAGTAAATACTTCCTAGAAATGAGTAATCTTCCACCTTGACCAAGCACAGTGAACAACTGGCACCAGTGTGTGCTCAGTTGCACAGATGGTGTCACGGTTTCCTCTTTAAGGGGAGGCAAGGCTGATATGGTGAAACACTGATCATTTGGGTCGTCCGTGATAAAATTGAGCACAAATAAAAGTGTGTGACTGAACACATGGGTTTTGTCTAGGAGAGCTTTCAGAGAAGAGAATGCCTGGAGGAGTGCTGAGCAACAGCTTCCTTGGCTGTGCTGGAAAAAAAACCAAAAAAACAAACCACCAAACCCAACACAAAACCCTCTAGAGTGAAATTATTCTTTCTTTTTCAGACTTGAAACTGCACCTCCAGAGCACAGACTATGGGAACTTCCTGGCCAACGAAGCCTCCCCGCTCACTGTGTCCGTCATAGACGACAAGCTGAAGGAGAAGATGGTGGTGGAGTTCCGTCACATGAGGAACCACGCGTACGAGCCCCTGGCAAGTTTTCTGGACTTCATCACGTGAGTACCAGCTGTTGGTGAGCAGCGTTTGAAGTGCTCTGTTTTTCCGGGCTTGAGAGCTCTCAGACCAGCTTCTCAGCCCTGTGCCTGCTGTGTTTTCTGCAGCTTCTTGAACGAAACTGTTTTGGTTGTGTCTGGAGGTCTGAAACCAGCAGCGCCGTGTCGCTGTGTTGTTAAAGGCTTCTGCTCCTGGGATGTGTGTGCTCCATTGGCACAGCTGCTTGGCTGCCTCCCATTGCAGAATTGGTTCAGCCTCTACTACAGCTGTCACTTATCTTTGTCCCTTGTGTGAAATGCTCCCGTTTTCTTAAAAACTATGATCCTGCTGCAAAATGTAGGCATGCCATGCATGTGCACGCTGGCAGTTGCCTGCTAGTTCTGAGCCACTGAGGTCTATCAGGCTTCATGAGGGCTGCAGTGATCCTTCTGTTCCCACCCCAGGCTCTGTGGGCCTTCCTCTGACCCCGTCACAAACTGGTTTGGGGAGTTGAGCTGGCCAAAAAATCGAACGCCTTTTCCCGTTTGGTGGTAACCTTTGACTGGTTTGTTGTTCTTGGACAGTTCAGTGGGATCCAACAAATGCCAGCACTAGGGGAAGGCAGGGCCTGGAATGCTCAGCAGGGAAACACAGGGCTGCAGCAGCCTCAGCACGTCTCTTATCGGTTCATGGAAACACACGGTGCTTCCACAGCAGTTTGAGCTGATGAGAAAAGCTTGAAATAGCTCAGTGTTCTCAAGGTATTTTCTGGTGGTTTTGCACAACCCTCTGCTCCCCCGTGTGCTGCTCTTGTTTTATTCAGTAATGAAATGGAATTGCTAACCTCAGAGAGATTCCAGTTGGCCTACTTTGCATCTGAAACGTGGAAGTAAAATTGACATTTTTCCTTTCCTTTGTCTATATTCCTATAAACTCTAGTTTGGCTTGCAAACTACACAGCCAGTGGCATCTTCTAACCACCAAGGAGATGTCTTCCAGCTGAAAGTGAATTTGTGGTTCAGCAGAGAGTGACTTTAACTTGCATCTCTGAGAAGAAGATTGTATTCTGTTCTCAAGTAGCACAGTTAATGCACCAGCTCTGGAACAGTGAGCCCAGGCTCATCACAGGCACTCTGGCAAGTGGTGTTTAATCTTGCATTTTTGGTAGGGGTGTGTGTGTGTTATCCTAGCTTAGGATAACAGCTAGAGGGTTTTGAATGATTCAGGCTGATGTAGAAAACACCTTTGTGGTTGATGAAAAAATTTAAATTTTTATCTATCTGTGAAATCTCCTGCATTTGCAAATGTTGAATAAACACCTGTCTCTCTGCCACATGCATCTGTGTTTACTCCTTTCTGTGCCTGGACACTACCACTGTCTCACTTTTCTGACCCAGTGCCTCATATCTGTTATTTTCTGGGTCACTGTGCTAAAGCTGCCTGTCTCTTAAGCCTTTCCTGTTTTCCAAGAAATAGTTTTTTCGTATGTGCCTGTCGCTAAGATTTCTGGAGTTTTCATATTTGGACCCAAATATGGGGCAAGACATTACTAAGCCCCCATTTTGCTGTGGTGTTTGAAATGAATGAAGCACTTTCTAGTTCATCTTAGTTGTGTGGGGCAGTCTCTTCTATTCTCTCAGACTTAACTTTCAAAACACCTCTTTGCCCATCTTGAATTTGCTGTAAAGACGTTGGTGCTGTTTGAGCTTGGCAATATTAGGTAGATTGTCCTCCACTGATACTTTTCCTTTACTGCCTTATGGGTTTATGAAAATGTTTAGTCCCTATGGAATTATCATGGTCATCTCTGATGCTTCTGTCATATCTGTTTAGAGGCAGTAGTTTGGCCAGCAGACATGAGTGTCTTGCAGACTTTAAAACTTCGCTGTTGCCCAGCAAGTCTGACTTTGAAAAGCAGTGTGTGGAAAAGATGAACTGGGAGGTTTCAGACCATGCCTGCCCTGGTTACACACTGCCTGACTTGGCCTGAAGGCTGCACATGGCCTTGAAGATCCAGTTTCCTGTTACATCAGTCCTGTTGACCTTTATCAAGTCTCTGTGACCAGCTCAAGTTGTGCAGAAGACCTTAAACATCTTGTTTAGTCAGAAAGGCTGGTTCTTACCAGCCTGTTGGAATCGCTTTTCTTTTTTTAAAATGGTGTTTTGCCCTCAACTTGATTTAACTTGATCTTGTGCTGCTTCTGTCACTCTGATTTTGATGAGCTCTCTACAGCAAATCATGATTCTGTGCAGATATCTCTGTCTCTTGCTACTGCATAATCTCCTGTTGAGTATATTGGTTCCATTCAGCCCAGGATGTTTCTTCCTCAAGTTGTCTTCACTCTCATCTCTTCTTTTCCTTTTTACCCACACAATTTACTTTAATACAACTGTCTATGGTGCTGCCTAGAGGAAGGTAAAAGGTGTAGCAGGAAAAAGCTGCTTTCCCATATGGATTGTCTCCAGTCTCTTGCAGAGACTTTTGTGCAAGGAGCCCAAGTCTGCAGTTGTGTTTTGCCATGGTTCTGCTGCACCAGTGCTGGAGGAGTCTCCTCTGGCTCTGCACTCATCACACCAGTGGGGTACTGAGGAAATAGAGAAGGTGTTACCAGCTTCAGCTGGTCCAAGGTGGGAGTTACTGTCAGGGTATTAGAATCTCTATTTTCTAATGACACTATAGACAAGTTAAAACAGAAGACTGAGGACAGTGAAACACAAGGGAGTTTGAAGAGGGTGGTAGTTTTGCCCAGCAGGGTCTTATTATGTTCTCTTGATAAACCTAGTATTTGGTGACAGGGCTAGCAGAAAATAGACTAGATGTGACTTCTTGGGCTGCCTTTCAGACTGTGTTCCCTGAAACTGTCCCATGGCTTGTAGTAGGTCTGGGTTTGGAACAGGGGATAGAAACATCAGAGATGTTTTCTGCTGACGGTGTGAAGTTTCCCATGCATGTCCCAAATTGCTGGAGTGGGGAACATCTCTGTTTGGAGCTGGCAGTGCATACTTGTGCCGGTGGTTTTCCTCTAGCCCAGGCTCGTGTGGAGGCAGCACCGCAGAAACATTTGGCCAGAGGATGTTGGCAGTGCTGGGGATGTTGTGCCTGTGCACACAGGGGTACTGAGTCATCCTCCCTGCCTGGGGGACGCTGGGACAGGCCTGTGCCACTTGATCTTTTACCCTGGCTGCACACGCAGGTATGGGGTGATTTATCTCTGCCTTCTGTACGTGGCTATTTCCCACTCCGTTCTTTTGGGGTAGTTAATGAAACTTGAGCAGGAAATGGTGAAGACTGCTCCTGGTAGACAGCTCAGGGCGACTGAGTCACCAGGTGCTCAGAAGAAGAAATTGTATTCAACTGGATGTATCTGTGTGCTAAAAGTGTACAGGCTGAAGGGAAATGAAAAATGGTAGAAAGATGTGGAAAGTTTGAGCAGGGCTGGCTTCAGCAGGAGGAAAGCTTGAGTTCACTGAGGCTCTCTTGAGCTGTAAACAGAGATTTTTAACATTGAGTGGGATTGTAGGTGTATCTGGCTCAAAATGGAAGGAAATGTTTTGCAGCATATCCAGTTCAGCTCTGAAACTCTTTGCTGCTGGTTGCTGTTGTATGTATTTAACTTTTTGGCCTTCTTAGAACTCTCGGATAACCTCACACAAGACAGGCCCATCAAGGCCTGTTGACACTTGGGTACCAGCTCAGTGAGAGTGGCCAGGATGTACATGGCTGGTGCCAGGAGGCGGATCAGGCATTTTAAGTCAGACTTTCTCCTTCCTGAATGTCCTGCTGGACCTTTGGAGTGGTTTTGAGTTCATCATCAGGTGACTGTTGTGCTTGTTCTTGAAGGATGCTCAGATCTTGATCCAGGCTACATTGCTGAGAAGATCTGGGGAACTGTCTGATCTTGGGAGGCAGCTGAAGTCCTTGTCCCCTCTGATGGCTCCAGAACCAACCTGCCAGGACCCACGTCATTTGTCCCATGTGGAATGATGCCCGTGTCATTTCATTTGCCTCTTTGAAGCAGCCCATGAACTAGGTGAGGCCAGCGGCAGGAGAAGCAGCAGTAGGGGCAGTGCAAGGGCTCTGGAGCACCAGAAGGATGTGTAGTCCCTGCCCGACGCCAGGAGGATGTGTATTCCTTGCCTGGCTCCAGGGAGGGGAGGCCGTGCTGCCCGTGGCTCGCCGGAAGGTGGCACTCCAGCCCCGTGCTGCCCGTCCCCAGGTGCACACCGAGCGGGGGTGAGGAGGGTCACCTGTGGAGGTGGGCAGGGGCTCATTGCTCTCCTCAGCTTAGGGGAAAGGACGGTGTTTAAAAGCACACAAACAGAACTGACCCCAGAATGCAGCTTAGGCAGCAATCCCAAAGCAAGGTCTTTGTTCCCCAAGCCACTTGCTGACACTGATTTTTGTCCTGTTGTGCTCCTCTCCTGGCACCACGCTGACTCTTTCCTGGCTCCAGTCCTCTCCAGGAACTCTGCTGTGGCAAGTGTTGCGTTCTTAGTACCAAAATAAGGGAAATCAGCCAACTTCCTCAATTTGTTTTTTCAAGTGGTGGCTGTAACTGGCAGCCTCTGCCACTGCATATTGTGGCAGGGGAGAGCTCGACTTGCTGAGCCTGCTGCCGTCTCTATAAACACCTGCTAGCTCTGCATCTTGCCACGCAGCTCCTCACTGGAAGGCTGCTGGTACTTCCCTGTGTCTTTCAGCCAAGCATAGTAGGTTCTGACTGATAGGCACAAATTGTCTGTTAACATCCCTGCTCCAACACAAACAATGGACTGTTTGGCTGAGGGAATGCAGCGATGTTCTGTAGGGCAGCAACAAACAGGTATTAAGTGTTCTTGAAACAGCAAAAACCCACTTCCTGAATTCAACAAGCACATATTGACTTGTGGGATGGAAGTGGGTTTTAGGTTCTTCTCAGTGATGTGCTGCCCTGCCTTTCTGTGAAGGCTTTGTTCTTTGTGTTAGCATGACACGGTGCCATGTCCCGTTTCTCCTTCCTTCCAGTGTTCCTGTACATGGTTT